TCTTTCACATGCTGCTCCCTTGCCAATTCCCACTAGCGGCATAGATGACCTGCGCTGGGTGCCCGAGTACTGGTGTTGCTGTGAGGGGCCGTCAAGTCGCTTCCGACTCACGGCAACCCAGTGTGCAACAGGAGGAAAGACTGCCAGTCCTGGGCCATCCTCATCACTCCCGCTACGTGTGAGCTCAATGTTGCCGTCACTGGGTCGATCCACTTTGTTGGGGGTCTGCCTTTGGTTCACCGCCCCTTTTCCAGGGACTAGTGTCCCCTGTACCATGCCCAAGTAAGAGAGACAGTCTCCCCATCGTTGCCTCTAGGAACATTCTGCCTGTACTTCTTCCGAGACAGATTTGTTTGTTCTCTTGGCAGGCACGGTACTTTCAATCTTCTTTGCCAGCGCCACAATTCAAATGTATCAAGTCTTCTTCTGTGTCTTCCTTATTCTTTGTCCAATGCCCACATGCATATGAAGAGATGGAAAATACCTAAATATACGCGGGTCAGGCTTACCTTAGTCCTCAAACTAAGATCCTTGTTCTTCAATACTTTAAAGAGGTCTTGTACCGCATGTTCATCCAATGCAATGTGTCCTTTAACCTCTCTCTTTTTAAAAGTCATTTTATTGGGGGCTCGTACATCCATTGTGTCAAACACATTTATGCGTTTGTTGCCATCATCGTTCTCAAAACATTTTCTTTCTACTTGAGCCCTTGGTATCAGTTTCTCATTTTTCTCCTCCCTCCTTCACCCTCCCTCCTTCATGAACCCTTGATAATTTATAAATCATTATCATTTTTTCATGTCTTACACTGTCCGATGTCTCCCTTCACCCACTTTTCTGTTGTCCGTCCCCCAGGGAGGGGGTTATGTGTAGATCGTTGTGATCGGTTCCCCTGACAGCCTTACTTACTGAAAGCGAAGAGGACTTGAAGTAGCACTTGCTGATGAAGATCAAGGATGGGTCACAACTCAACGTAAAGAAATCCAAAATCTTCACAACCGGACCAGTAGGTAATTTCATGGTAAACAGAGAAAAGATTGAAGTTGTCAACAATTTTGTCTTGCTTGGATCCACAACCAGAGCTCATGGAAGTGGCAGTCGAGAGATCAAAGGACACATTGCATTGGGTCAGTCGGCTGCCCCAAGACCTTATGAAAGTGTTAAAGGGCAAGGATGTTTCTTGGAGAATGAAGGTACCCTTGACCCGAGCCATGGTATTTTCAGTCGCGGCATACGGATGTGAAGGCTGGACACCGAATACGGAAGACCACAGAAGAACCGGTGCATTAGAATGCTGGCGCTGGTGGAGAATATGGAAAGTACTGTGGACTGCCAAAAGAACCAGCGGGTCTGGCTGGGAAGACGTACAGCTGGAGTGCTCCTAGAGGCAAGGATGGCGAGCCTTCGTCTCATGTTTTCGGGCGAGGCCAGTCCTTGGAGAAGGACACTATGCTTGCAAGAGGACAGGGTCAGCAACAAAGAAGAAAGCCTTTGACAAGATGGACTGACACAGTGGCTCAAACATCAGAACAATGGTGAGGGTGGCGCAGGCACAGGCAGCGTTTCTTTCTGTGGTGCAGGGGGTGGCTGTCAATCAGGACCCACGTGACGGCACCTCCGAGGGAAGGCTGACCAGAAGATTGGAGCTCCAAAGCCCTGAAGTAGCAAATGCTCTGTTTTCTGTTCTTTGTGCCTCCCACATAATCACCCCCTGCTGATGGAGGAGGAGGTCTCGTCTACAGACTTGGGGAGCTGAGCCAGTGGTATCCAAGATTTAATGAACCCTGGTGGTGCAGTGTTTAAGCTCTTGACTGCTAACCAAAAAGTCGGCAACTTGAACTTAGGAAGCCGATGGGTCAATTCTACTCTGCCCTGTGAGGGTCACTCTGAGTCAGAATTGATGCCACCACAGGGGAGTTTCTCTCGATCAGTGTTCTCGCATTCAGGCTGAGCTCCCGTGCCTCTCCCGATCACTCGTGAACGGCTGGAAACGGAAGCCACGTGGTGATGCAAGTTCACTGTCACCAGGTCACGTAACCGATGAATGATGCTAGCAAGCCCTGATGGATCCCCAGTCAGCTCTAAGTCCAGGCCTTGAAGTGAAAGGAGAATGGAAACGTTTATTTGGAGATAGTTTAAAATCTGATTTTAGATAGGCAATGTCCTCATCCAAAGCCCAAGTAAGATAAGCCTCTGAGCCATGTGGAATAAACTTTTATTCTCTAGAGACCCAAGTTCCGTTTCTTGACCAAAATTGTTGTATTTCAACATGTGTGCCACTTTCTCCTCCTGTCCCCATCAGACAGCCTGATACTTATGAGCCATGTCCCCGGGGTGTTTTGCAGTGGAGATAAAAGTGTGGGAACGGTCCGGCAAGGGAGAAATAATGTACCCCTGAGCTAAAAAAGTGAAATCCTCACACGTGTCCATATTTGGTATCCAGATCGCTATCTCATTAGCTATTTCTTAACCACTGCCTGCCCCGGGCCCTGTAGGCATTTCTTAGATAGTTCTTCATAAAAACTGTTCACTCAATCATAACATTCACTGGGAAATTACCTAGGTCCTCATTTCTAAATTCCAATTAAAAAACACCTTTATGACAATGATGTTAATGATTTTTTTCAAAGTATAAACATTTTTTTACTAGAAACCATAAAAACTTGTATGATGGTGGCAGCACGTGTGCAAGTGCCTTTGACACGATGGATGAATGCATGGGTTGTGATGAGATGTAAGAGACCCCAATAAAAGTATTTAATGGAAAAAAAATTTTTAACATATTACCATGTATTTCAAGATGTTTGCTGCACCCCCTACTGGCTATATGTGGTACTCCTCAAATTAGCAGCATTTTTAAATAATGCTGAGCGCCTTCTTTGGGTATACACATTCCGCCTCTTTTGCGTTATTTTATTTTAGAAATAATTTCGTATGCGTCTGACATATTTTAGAATGTAAATTTGCTCCTGTAGTTTATCAATTAATGTTCAAGCCACACTTACCTTTCCAGGCACCTTAAACTATAACTCTTGGAGACAAAATATTTTTCAGGTCCTTTTTACTAATATTGTGGATGAAATCTAGAGGGAAGAAGAATCTCTCGAAATATGCCTATTTTATTATGAATCACACTACCACGAGAACCCATGTGTGATAAGTCTGTGTACATCTTTATTTCTTTGCTAAATAAAAAACAATCAAAAAAATCTAACTCGGTGCCAGCGAGTCAATTCCAACTCCTAATAACCCTATAGGAAAAAGTAGAATTGTTTCTGTGGATTTCTGAGACTGTGAATCTTTACGGGCGTAGAAAGCCTCCTGTTTGTCCTGCAAAGCAGCTGGTGGTTTCGAAAGGCCAGTCTTGACATTAACAGCCCAGCTCCTAAGCCACTCCATCAGCCAGACTCCTTGGCCAATGTTCATGAAGCTTTAAGAAGAGACCTCTTGATTTTGAAAGAAACCCTCTGAGGGAGGGGCTGGCGTGAGATAGTCCTAGAGTCACAAAAGTCACTGGGGCAGGGATCATGGCTGGGGGCTCTGCAGGGTCCTTCCAAGCCATTGTCTGTAGTCAGTGCCTTTCTCAGGGCCTTGATGTCTGGAGAAAAGCTCATTCATTATAAGAAGGCATCAGCTTCTAGTCAGTGCCGTGTGCAGAGGTGCCATGGACAGTCACTGAATCCCAGTTTCTTAAAGACAAAAATTCAGAGGTGTTGAACTAACTGAGCCAAGACCATTTCCTAAATGATGAATTTGTGCCGGGAAATGTAGAGTCCTTGTGTAGAAATATTGAAGCGCTTTCCAGTGAAATTTGCTGCTATCTAAGGATGAATTTATCTTTTAAAAACACAAACGGGTCTACGTGTGGTGTGGATATCTTTCCATCCAAATGTTAAACACACAATTACAGTCAACCCAAACCAAAACAAATCCAGTGCTATCAAGTCCATCCCAACCATAGTGATCCTACCTGATGGAGTCAAGCTGTCCTATAAGGTGTTCGAGGCTGTCACCTTTATGGAAGCAGGCTGCCACATCTCTCTCCCATGGTGTCGCCGGTGGGTTTAAACCATTGGCCCTGCAGTTAGCCGCTGATTGCTTAACCACTGTGCCACTTGAGCACTTCCATTCCTAAGTCCATGGATTCCCAAGAAACTTGAAAATACAGGTCTCAGACGCATACTTGCTTATTGCAGAATTAGTCACAGCAGTGGAAACAACTACTATGTCCATCAACAGATGAAAACGTGGCATAAACATACGACGACGGAGTAAGTTGCTCAGAAGAAAAGAATGGATTAGAATACATGCTAACACATGCATGAACCTTGAAAACATGATGCTAAGTGAAACAAGCCAGATAAAAGGACAAGCACTGCATGATCGCATTCCTAAGAAATGTAATTCTTTGATTGGTGCTACCATGGGCTCACATGGGGTAGAGGGCCTGGAGGCCTATACGTAATGGGGCCAGAGTTTCTCTAAGAGTTGATGAGAACGTGGTGGGAACAACAATGGTGCTTCCAACACCATTCTGAGCGTGATTAATACCACTGAATTGTACACTTGTCAATGGGTAAAATGTGAAATCTCATGTTGTGTCTATTTTTCCACAATAATGATAACAAAGAATACATTTACAGTCACAATGTGGTTTCCCCTCTACCTATACTTTCTTTTCTTTTTAACCTATTATTTCAGAAGTAACATCATAAATCTCTTCAGACCTTTGAAGTGACAGGGGAAACTGTGGAGTCATCCATTTGGGGCTTGTACCTTGATTCAGCAAATGAGGAAATTCAGGCCCCGACAGATGAGGTCGACCCTTTCTAAAACCCTGGTCTCTAAGCTACGCTTCCTGACTAACCTCCCCAAAAGATCTTCCTCGTTGAAGAATAAAATTATCTTATCAAATGGCCAGGAAGGGTGTTTGCTGAATTAATTAACTGGTAGGTTCTCTGAATTCACATGTTACATGTTCATATTTCTCTCTGTTGCAGAATGCAAAGTGTGGCGGAACCCGCTAAATTTGTTTAGGGGCGCGGAATATAATCGGTAAGCATCTTGACAGACTGGAAAAGAGAGGGGTCTGGTTCCGGGAGCAGAGAGACCCCCCCCAAAAAAGTTTTGTGTTCTTTGGTTCATTTAGAGGCCATTGCAACCTTCTGCTTAGTTCTTCCATTTTTAATATTCTGTTTTATATATTTTTTATCATTGACATTGAGACCATGAACAAAATGTACATTTTTTAGAATGTTTTCCCATTGCAGATATTCTTTTCAAAGACTCACAATATTTTGAAGCTTCCATGGAATGCAGTTATAAAAATGCCACTGAGGTTGTGTTGGAATTTAATTTAGCAAAGTCATTAGGCAAATCAGAATTTTCATGGCTTTGGGAAGTATCTCTTTATAATGTTAATTACACAAGCTTTTCATTATCTGGTGCTAGTAAATTTTAAAGACAGAAATATAGGAGGGCAATGTCACATTCTTTTTTCCTGCTGAGACACTTCCTGGAGGAAAAATTGGATGGTTAAAAAAAAAGTTTTGTATTCTTTAGCAAAGCTATTTATCTTAGTACAGAGATGATGGTTTATATTCCATTTGCTGTGCAGCTTCCTATTTTGTTGGTCTTTTATTCTCCCCCAACCTTTTGACCATCTCGTCTTCCTGCCTTAGGTACACGTGGGTGACGGGACGGGAGCCCCTGACGTACTATGACATGAATCTCTCTGCTCAGGACCATCAGACGTTCTTCACGTGCGACAGCGACCACCTGCGACCAGCAGATGCAAGTATGGAAACGTCTTGCGTTAGCTGCGCGGTGGGAGGGTTTGCTTGTTGAGGTATCAGAGTTTCTCCTTGTAGAGCGTCTCCTCTCCAAAGACCTTAGTGAAGAAAACAGTAAATTGGAGATTGGCTGATAGCACCCAGAATTCGGATACTTAAAGGATTTAGCACAGTGAAGTATTGATGTAGAAATGTCTTTCCTCGTTATAATTTTAAAATGGGACTTTAAAAAGCACCTAACTTGTATTTACTTACGAAATGATGCATGTCTTGTATGAAGCTAATTCAATTTTCTGTTGAGATAGAAGAACAAGTCTTGTCGGAGGGATGATATTCTAGTTAGAAATCTGGATTCAGTGACTCCAAATGATAGCAATATATTTCAGTGATGTTTATGCCTAAGAAGATCAACAGTTAAGTGTTTGGCTGCTAACTGTAAGGTTGGCAGTTCAGACCCACCCTGTAGCTCTTGGGGAAGAAAGAGCTGGCCATCAGCTCTTATAAAGATTGCAGCCTCGAAGTCTGCCTGGGGCAGGTCTGCTCTGTCAAATGGGGTTGTGATGAGCCAGAAATAACTCAGTAGCACCTCACTCACAACTCCACCTAAGAACACATCAACGCAGAGGTTGACTACCTTTACATAGGGACACTACCTCAACCATTGCAGGCCCCGTTTCTTTCCACCTCAAGAAGACACTGTTTACCATCCCCTAGAGCTGTGTTCTGTATGCCGATCAAATTCCAAATGTTCATCCTGAGGTGCTCATGTTATCAAAATTATTCAAAGTAAACACCTAAGCACATCTTAAAAAAAAGTTACTAGGAGAGTTCCTAGAAAGCTGGTTTATAAAATCCAAATGACGATGGAGAAATAGATTTATGTGCATTTATTTATAGGTTTAGTGTTAAGGTAGCAGATGGACATTGGGCCCCTATTCAAGTACTCCCTCAATGCAAGAACGCTTTTTGCTATTAAACTGGCATTCCATGATGCTCACCTTCCTGACACGATCGCTGAAGACAAAGCGGTGCATAAGCAAATGTGGTGAAGAAAGCTGATGGGAAGCAACAAAGCCCATGTGGAAGCAGCACACCAACATGTGTGATCATGAAGGGCCAAAGGGACCAGGCTGTAAACACCAAAGG